GTCTCCAAGGCTACCAATAGTTACCGGGTGCCTGATTTGGGAAATCTGATACAGCGCAAAAAATGGTATATGACCGTTTCTTGAATAACTTTTCATAGAAAAGAGCTAGAGAGCTCTGGTTTCACGACTCAAAAGATGAGACTTGATGACATGTTTTCATAATCAAACGTTTTTTTCACAAAAAACTTTTTTCGGAAACAGGTTTTCGAGAAGATCTTTGAAAAACTAGCCATGTGTAAAAATCCTTCAATAGGATTGTATTGATGTTTTGTCATGGATTGTTAGCCCGGGATGTTATCTTTAGCATAGGAGTCAAGGAAGACCTTGCTTTTCCGCAGTTCGGGCGCTGTATCAGATTTCTTACGAGGTCCACTCGGTAACTATTAGTAGCCTTGGAGACGGATGAATATGGGTAATCGACCATGCTGAGTCTCATAGCAATATTTATTTTTAGAAGAATTTTAAGATTCTACCGAAAAGCGTGTTTACGAAAATTAGAGTTTCCAGACTGTCACCAATCCTCTGCTAAGTAAAATAATTAACGTTAGATATGATGTTTTTAGATTTAATTTTCACCCTCACTATATATAGGTGTGGTGAAAATATAGTGAGGGTGAAAATACGTTTTTTTGGAATATATCTCAGTATATATACTGAGATATATTCCAAAAAAACGTCCCTTTTAGTTTTTAAGATATAGAGCTGTCAATATCACAGATTAATGTTAGTAAAATGTATGGATTTTACTTTGATTTTAGAAATTTCATGAATGCGGAATGACCAACATAATTTTCTTGATCACCTTTCGGAACATCATAGTCAGAGGAGTCCAGGTTCAACTTTTGTTTTTTCCAGTGAAACCGCTAAAATCGAAAAGTGGAATCCATACATTTTACTAACTTTAATCTGTGATAGTGACAGCGCTAAATATTAAAAACTAAAACAGATCTTTTTGTGGAAAATATATCAAACAGTGCAACTTGTGTACTTCAGATTAGTATAGAAAGTGGAAAAGGATCCTCTCTAGTTCTCTTAGTTTTTAGTCGCGAAGTGGGCCGAATATAGAATAAATTCACAGTTCCATAATTTTATCTTTTTCTTAGTTTATTCGTTAAAGAGAAAAATTGTTCTCTATGGATATCCTGTGCTTATATAAGAAAAACGAATCAGAATTAAGGTATAATCAAATAGGATACAATAAAAATGGCATCTCTCTTTTTAAAGTCAAAGAGCAGGGCAGCTGGAAAGAAAATACCTGGTTACTCCATATTCTGACACACAAGCGAAGTAACTATCGTCCACCTTGAAGATTAGATGAAGAATTTGAAATAAATCGCTGCGCACGGTTTCTTTCCCTTGGGATAAAAACTTGAAACAGACACTCTTTATGTGATTCCATTTACTTTGTCAGGATATTGTGGAAGTTCATACTGAATATTATCTTTCTTAAGCATAAGCTGAATGAATATTTCGACGAAAATATAAAATTTCTTCATTTGTTATGTTTTCCAAATAAAAGTGTATGACATGACACAGTGGCATTATTTTAGACACAACTTATATAAAGGACCCTGCCGGATTTAAAAATTTGAAAGTATCAAAAAGCTGAATAGCAGGTTCGATAGAGACTTTTATTGCGCATCTAACCCTATAAAATTGTAATTTTTAGGCCTATAATGATTTCTCGCAGGCCTTATTTGAAAAAAATCAATAAAGATATAAACAAACAAAAAAAAGCCATATATAATTTTTGATTTGAAACTATGATCGTCTCTCAAAAAATAATTCTTTAAAAAGTTTGATCATTTACTGACATGAGATGAAAAACGTTTATCAGCTCACTAAGGAAGTTTATCAGCTTCACTGTAATGAAGATATTGTTTATACTGGATTTTGTAGAGTGGAAAACGCGCTATAAACTGGCGATAAAAGAATAAAAAGAACATGGTTGTTGTTTGAAAACAAAATATTTCTCGAGCAAAATTTGAAATTTTTATTTTTCATACGCTTCACTAAAACTTCTATAGCAGGTCAAAGAAATACAGTACCACCGCCAAACTTTGTCAAAAATTGCTTGATACTTAACTCTATCTAGCAACATAGTTTGAGTCTTCGAGACCGGCTGTATTAATAAGGAAAAAATTCAACATCGCAAAAGTTTCGTATATGTTATTGATCGTTTTGGTCTTAAAATTGATTTTTCTCATTTTCATTACGTCCTTTTGTAAAAATAAGATAATATTCTTGCTCCTCGGACAAAGCAAAATCGAACGGTATATTATACGAATATAGACAACGGAAAAAACAATCAGTCTTCGGCTCCCCTTATAAAAAGCTCAGAAATAATTTTGCAAACCAATCTAGTTTTTTCGTTGAAAAGATGGAGCCGATTTTTACACTTCATTAGAACCACCATTAAACGAGCTTTAAAAGTACATATTGCTTCTTTGTTCATCGTGCTTTGTCATTGAGAAAGTTCATATTTTCTAGATCAGGAACGCAGAAATCGAAATTCTGCCGGTATTCTCAATTTTATTCATCAGAGCTCACGTTTTGTTTAATAAAAATATCATATTCAGAATCAGTGTCGCAAACTGAATCGAATGGTACATATTTCGAAACTTGCATGCTTATGATATTCTTCATTCATTCCTTCGACTAAACGATCGTTTCGATGGATTACTCGACACTCTACAGGTTAAAGAAATACAGAGAGACCGGCTGTTAGACGTCTGCATTCGGCTTTAATTTTCGACAAATTAAAACAGTTAATCTATATTGACTGAACGGTATCAGACAGATGCAGAGAACGAACTTGTGCCGTTGATGGAAAGTGTTCGCAGATAAAGTCACATCTGGATTTGGTGATGCGATGAAAGTTCAGATCAAACTGTAGAGTGTCGAGTAGTCCATCGAAACGATCGTTTAGTCGAAGGAATGAATGAAGAATATCATAAGCATGCAAATGCTCGAAGACAAAAAGTCGAAGGAAAAAGGGGCCAAAATATAAATTTTCAACGACGGAAGAAATTATCGCATTTCTGTATTATAGATCAGCCATAAATAAGCTATTTATAGATCATTCGAATGACCTAAATATAACCTTAAAATGGTCCAAAAGCAGCTCGCGGTTTTTGAATTATTTTAAGGTCATCATTAGACCATTCATATGACGCATAAATGGCTCATTTATGAGCTATAATCGTCTAAAAATGACGTAAATATGATCATCCGCAATAATCAGTTAGCAAAATGGTGTTAAAATGACTCATAAATGTTCTACAAATGACCTAAATATGGTCATAATTCGATAGTCATTTTAAGGTCATCGAAAAATGGCCTTAGAAGAGTTAAAAAATGAGACAATAACTGGGCTCAAAATGAGCTAAATATGATCATAAATGACCTTGAAATAGATCATAAATGAACAATAAATGACTCATATATAGATCATATTTAAGATCATTTCCATCGCCCTGGGTAGTTCTTCGTAGAAAATGTGGAAAAAAGAAAAAACAAGATGTATCTGTATTGTGGTCATTTTGTCGTTAGATGATAATCAGCTGCTTTCTAAAACTGTACGTGATATGTGCATACCAAAATGCCTATGTCATATGCGAACTAACCCTAAAAAATGATATGGCTTGCATTGAGAGACTACACAACTCAAGTCATAATCGAACCATCAGTGGACTTCCGCAAGTTGGCGAAAGGACACTGAATTTTTGCCAATACCATCCATGGCCGCTCGCGAATTGGACAACATCTAGTTGGTGAAAGTCATATTAGCGTACCTCTATGATTCCCTTAGATTCTTGAAGTATATAGTAGACTCAAATTTACAGCTGATTAGACTTATTGTGTAACAGACGCACACTCTACTCTACTCTACTCTCTTCTTCTTCTCAAATTGATGATGCGTAAGAATGAAATGATTTCTTTATTAAATTATATATATTTATGTGAGTAGATGCTGCTAAGCTGTTGTACGAAATTTTTAACATTAAAAATGATTAACAATAGTGTGTCGTTATCTAATGTTGTTATTTTGTTTTTTGATTCTAATCATCTACTCATATTTACGATATTTAACCCGTTTTAGTGGCATCGATACCACCTGCTGTTTTACACGCATCGCATATCCAGGGTATTGTTATATATTGAGTGATCCGATTTTTATCTTGGTTACAATTTCTTTTTACATTACTAAGAACATTTTTTTCGTCTGTTTTTCAGATGTAATTAATCTGATTCAATTTCACAAAAAAGAAAACGAAATGTTTCAAGTTAATACGTTTGGATTATTCTGTTTGTTAGTTATATTTTCAATTGCATGTTGTGATACGCATTCGATTCAAATTGTCAACAGTGGATCAACAAATACAGCTGGTTACAACATAAATATTGCAGCTATGGCAACAACACCAGTACCAACTGGTAATTTTGAATGTGGAGATGGAACAATCGTACTGAATTCACAAGTTTGGTACGTATTGACAAATAGTATGCAATATAGCGTGTGTCATCGTTTCTGCGTATTTTAGTAATTTCATCAAAGAATGTGCTAATGGTCATGACGAAGAGGTGTGCGCCGATTGCACATTTGAGCAAGATCAATGTCGTTGGTTAGATCAAAGTTTTGGATCATTCGCATGGAAAAGAGGTCAGGGTTTCACCGCATCACAAAATCATAGCGGACCAACTGTTGATCGTGAGTATACCTGTATAACATCAAAAATTGTCCAATTACTTTTTCTATCACCAACTAGATACCACTCTTACAAGCCCGGGTTACTATATGTACGTCGACTCGGCTACTGGTACCATTTGGGATAAAGGCATTTTGGAGCTGCAACAAATACTTCAGCCATCAAGTTCCACTTGTGAATTAGAATTTTATTATCATTTATCGGGTGATGATTATCAATTTTTATCTGTTCATTTGAAAGAAAACGGAGATAGTATCGATATCTGGAAACAATTCGAAGATCAAGGTAAATACTATTAAATTCTAATTTCATTAGTATTAATACTAGTGTTTTAGGTGATCAATGGGTTCGTGTTTTGATACCACTTGGTCGCATATCAAGACCATGGTCGATACAATTTTTGGCTGAAAGTGGTTTTGGCGATGGAAATGTGGCTATTGATGATGTAAAACTGGTCGGTTGTCAGTTTCCACCACAACGACCAACATGTCCCGACGGATATTTTCGCTGTCAACGCGGTGCCTGTGTACAAATGAATCGTGTATGCGATTTCAGGTAAACTGATTAATTTAGGTTAATTTTTCTTCAATAGTTTAATGTATTTTTCCGTATTAAAGTGACGATTGTGGGGATAATTCAGATGAAATTAATTGTAAATCGTATACAATGTGTAATTTCGAAGAACAAGCTTTTTGCTCGTGGACACAAGAACTCGACAATAACCTCGATTGGGAACTAAATGATGGGCCAACAATGAGTTTTGAAACTGGACCAAAACGAGATCATACATTAGGCTTGCCAAGCGGACATTTCATATTTTTGGAATCTTCTTACCCTGCTGAACAAGGAGACAGAGCTCGTGTCGCGTCGCCTGTTTTCAATAATTCTGGTGGCTGTGAATTCCGATTTTTCTATCATTTGTATGGTGAAGATATTGGAGCATTAAATGTTTATACACGTACAACTGTTGGAGGTTCAATGAATAAAGTTTGGTCGAAAGATTACGAAGTCGGCGATTTTTGGGTTCGTGCCGATGTTCGTCTGTTCGTCAGTGAACCCTTTCAAGTCGTTTTAGAAGCTATTGTGGGCAAAGGTCACGCCGGCGACATTGCCGTTGATGATACATCATTCACGCCGGAATGTAGTTTGGGTAATGTAGGTTTGGTGACTGTATGAATATTAGAGAGTGGAGGATACATGAAAAAGGTTGGACATTCGTCACCACTTGCTGCATAAAGACGACTCGATAATCTACAGAAAGAATAAAATATTAGCCTTGAAGTAACAAAATGAGAAAATAAGTTTTACTTCGATGATTGAAGTTCTTTAGTTAGTGCAAACGAGCCTAATGATGTTGATGTCGTGTGATCCATATTAACAAAATTTGACATGTTTGATGCTTGTTGCCTTATCCAACTTTTTTCCGGGGAAGCTTTAAAATCACACATATCCACTTCAAAATCGCATGTTTTCGTTGATGGACATTGATTATTGCTAACAAATATACCATCTAAGCTAATGTCACCTAAATAGTCTTTTCCTACTACGTCTTCAAATACAATTCGGCATCCAAATACACTTGCATCACCGTCACTAATATCTTGTAGCGTTTTTGTTCCGTGAAGCCATTGATTTCCCTGACTTGATGATTTCTGCCATATTAGTTTTCGTGAAAAATCCGTAGGTGAAACAGAATCAACGTAGACATTGAGCGTACCAATATCTAAACCGTACATATGATACCAGAAGGAGAGACAACGGGGTTGTCCCGTTGACGGATTTTGAATAGCTGATAATGAACGGGCTTTATCGTTTTCTTGTCTAATTAAATAATAAAATTCACTGTCTAAGAATATACCAAGTAAGGAAAAAAGTACTTATCTAGGATACGATGCTTCGATGTAAATGTAATATCCTGAACCAGTGGTATGATCTGAAAGAGTGATAAAATCACGAGATTTTTCGCTACTAGAAGTAAACAATAGTTATTAATTACCAAATCCAGGTCCGGTTTCAGCTGAGTATGTTGTATGATTCACTCTGTCCGATTGAAAGTCTGCCGTATCATCACGAAAATAGTTACACCAATCATGTTCGAATGTACAATCAATTGGTAAGTCTAGTATAGGTGTTGTTGTTTGACAATTAAAAAACCCTACATCATCTATTGCAATGTCGCTCGCATCACCCGGAAAACCATCGATTTCTAACAAAAGATACTTTTCTCTAATTACTCAAATTTAATACCCCTCTTCAGACTACTCACCAACAGAAAATCGGTCCGCTTGATGGCCAATATTCACGACAGCTTGTTGCCATTCAGGTGCTTCTTCATCAAACCATTGTAGAAAATCATGAATATCTGTACCATTGACCAATCGATGTAAAAATACATCAATTGCCGAATAATCGGTGTTTCCATTAATGTAATACCAAAACTTCAACTGACATTCGATACCACTTGGGCCCAACACTGGTGATTGAATCGACTTATAATCTTCACTGTCACTCATCGTACCATCGACTAATAAATAATATCCATTATTTTCCATATGATCTGCGTCCGGACATTGCCCACTTGGCGCTTTGCCTGTTCCAAGTGTCCAGTCGTATTCCAAAAAGCCAACTGATCGCCATCCATATCGTTGTTGTTGGTCAAAATTACATGTACCACAGGCGGCCTCATCACTACCGTTCAAACAATCTTTTTTGAAATCACAAACTAATGTGCCATTGATACATTGTCGATTTTCAATACATAAAAACTCGTTTGGTTGACATGGATTAGGTGTAATTGTCGTTGGTTGCGTTGTTACAGTCACCAAACCTACATTACCCAAACTACATTCCGGCGTGAATGATGTATCATCAACGGCAATGTCGCCGGCGTGACCTTTGCCCACAATAGCTTCTAAAACGACTTGAAAGGGTTCACAGACGAACATCGGCCCGAATCCAAAAATCGCCGACTTCGTAATCTTTCGACCAAACTTTATTCATTGAACCTCCAACAGTTGTACGTGTATAAACATTTAATGCTCCAATATCTTCACTAAAGGGTAAAACTGATATTTTCCTAAGTACGTAACTCCATCAACTCTATCCAACCATTGTAGAAAAAATGAAAAAAAGGTCTTGCTCGAATTTTGAATAGCCGGCACCTTATTACTATTCGTTTCAAAACAGAATGACTTTGAATAACTTCTGAACTAAAAGTGATGTTGCTATTTGACAGGGGATACTGGGGACATCGATGTGTGAAAAAAATCAAGTTTATACTACCACCTGCCGATGGTGTATATTTCTCCGACATTTTGAGTGGATTGTTCCAACACGAAGAGAAGATAGATTTTCGATTCTCATAAGTGGATTCGAACCACCGAATTCTCATCTTTCGATCAACTTATTTTTTCAAGAATTAAATCGTCTGTGGTCATTTAATTTGATTCATAAAGTTCAGACAGTGTTAGCAAAACATGAACTTTCTCAATGACAAAGCACGATGAACAAAGAAGCAATATGTACTTTTAAAGCTCGTTTAATGGTGGTTCTAATGAAGTGTAAAAATCGGTTCCATCTTTTCAACGAAAAAACTAGATTGGTTTGCAAAATTATTTCTGAGCTTTTTATAAGGGGAGCCGAAGACTGATTGTTTTTTCCGTTGTCTATATTCGTATAATATACCGTTCGATTTTGCTTTGTCCGAGGATCAAGAATATTATCTTATTTTTACAGAAGGACGTAATGAAAATGAGAAAAATCAATTTTAAGACCAAAACGATCAATAACATATACGCAGCTTTACAATGTTCAATTTCATTTCAAAGAGCGACAAAAAGTTACGATGGACTTTTTCGATATGTAGTAGAAAAGTAGATTGTATTTAATAAAAAAAGCGTGTATAATAAAAAGGTATTATAAATAAAATAAGTTTCAGATGATTAATCGAGACTCAAGTTCTGATATGATGAAAGGTTCTATAGTCTGCCCTTTAACATTGTGTACGACGCAAAAGTTACAATCAGTTGGATACGCGAATAACGGGAGAATATTGTACTCGTGATGCCATTCAAGAGTGAGAGAAATGTTATCGAATGTAGAAGCTACATGACTAATAAAATAAAACCTTTCTCTTTCAACTCGATGATCTTATCAGAACGAATTGCCAAAAGATTCAACAATTCGTAAGCTTTGATCCTGTATGTAGGTAATTCGATGCAGTAGGGGGAAAGTCTGATGAGTTCAATTCACTTCCAATTTCACTATTCAATTCACTTTTCCTTGTACGAATTCATTCTGTAAAAAATTTAGCTATCATGTTTATTAATATAAGTTTTAACATCAATAGTGTATGAGCGACTTTTGAAATAATTGACAAAAGCGAAACAAGATAGGAAAAAATGAGAGAAAAATATGAACACAAAAAAAATCATTCTCACAAGTTAAAAATTTCTCTAACTACTCGGTTTGCTTGTGAACGCTTTTCCAATCGCCGATTGCAACTTATGTGCGATTTGTGTCGCAGCGTGTGTAGCAACCGTGGACCACTCCATGATATAATGTTTAAGTAAGACTTTTTGAAAACTAATTAACTTTTTTTGGTCATATGAATCGACGCCATATTGGTCATATTTGGTCATATGTACACGCTTTTTTGTACCCGTCACCCATGTCTATCTCCATCAATAAATGCTTTTTGCTGGATGAGCTCGGATAATGGGCAGGACCGTAGTTGTCTACATATGACGCATGTAGTTATAAGCAGTTCTGTACTGTTAAGAAAGCTAGTCTTCTTCTCGTTCTGTTTAGCATTCGTTGATTATGACAATATGAGATGAATTTCAATTACATGAAACGTGATTTTAAAATGACTATGATGTCTGCTGAAACATAAAAAGAATACAAAACAACATATGTGTACTAAAGTGTTTTGATTCAACACTTGAAATTTTTTTTTTTTCTGTATATTGCTCTACTGTTGACAAAGCTTTGTATTCAATTCATACTTTGTGTTCGTTTTTCCGTGTGATACATTTATTCTAGGACGAATTACTTATAATATGTGTTATTAATATTATTCAACCTTTTTCATGTATCCTCCACTCTCTAATATTCACAATAACAAAACGAACCTGGCTACAAAGAACACAGGAAGCTGTGAAAATCAAAACTTTATCATCGTGTTAAGTGCCTCAAATATGCTCGACAAAAAAGTGCGTAACGCCGTGACGGTTTTATTTTGCATCTTTCTCCCTAGCGAGAAGCGCTAAAAGAAATTTATTTTACCAGCGGATAGCTCGTCAATTACTCTATAAATTTTGCTTTAGAAGTTTCCTTTTTACAGAATTAATTTCACAGGAAATTAAAGAATTCCAAAGAGCGCTCGTGAAAAAGAATCTTTTTTCGTGACGCGACACTAAAATTCTTCTCAAAGCCCAGTGCTACATCCAAAAAACTTCGTTTTAACAGCATACGTAGAACATGATGAACTGCATCGATTGACGTTTGAACGAACGTTCTAGCTACTTTAGTTTCCGAGATAACTGAAGTTTAATGCGTCAAAAACGTAACGCCGTGACGTTTGGACAAGCCGTTGAATGAAGTCCCTCCAAAATTCAATGATATAGATCAAATTTTATGTAGAATTCAATAAAAATAAATTCAAGATACTGACACAATCTTTAAAAGTTCTTCGGAGCATTTTCAACAAAATTTCAACAGATTTTCCAGAAAAACTTAGACTAAAAACTTTGATTGGTGATGAAAACCTAACCTCGTCCATTAGAAGAAAATTTTTCGAAATCATCGCTCAAAAAATTTCTGATCATTTGTGGGATGTTTCCCATGTCATAGCTCCTATTTGAATATTCTTCAACACTTGATGATTTATTTGTGTTCGTCAAATTTTCACTTGACCATCGACTAATATTTCCACTTTTATTTGCACTTTTACAGTGTGAAACCATTTTGGATTTTCCGAAACTCGAATAGCAATTTATCCTCATCGAATCGCACATTGATGTCAGAAGGGGTCAAAACCAACAAAGGAAAAAAAATGACTGATTTATAAGCTTTTTAAATTGACGCATTTACAACGAAAGACAGGGTTTATAGAAAAATGACTCTGGGAAAATTGGATCTTTTTTGAGATGAGAATAAACATCATCATGATGATCAGAGTGGTTGATAGCCTACGTTTAGACCCTTTCTGAGATCTGCACCACCCAAGATCCTTGAAGCCTGGTAGTTCGTGCAAAATCCAAGCCTCTGCAAAACTAAGCAAAAGTACGAGCTAGCTTAGATCAGGTTTTGAACAAAACACTTTAGACTAACTGTCTATGAAAAAAAAATCGATATATTGCTATTCGAGTTTCGGAAAATCCAAAGTGATTTTCCAAAGGCTCTCAAAAAACAGGATTTTCTGAAACCTTCCAAGACTAACTTTTGCTTGTGAAAAGTCAGCTTCCTCCGTCGTTTAGGTTAGATTAAAAGTTAGGTTCCTCCGATCTCTTTTCGTTAAAAAGTTATTTAAAAAACAACGGAGTTCATTCTGTTTTAGTACAAACAGCACCTCAGAATATTAATAAGTATTCTGTTTCATCCGCAGTACCTCGCATAGCTCTATAAATATCACAAAAACCAAGAGAAAATACTCTATTTTTCGAAAGAGTTTTTCAGAAGTCCTCGAAACTCTGAGAATTTGTTTAATGATCTTAAGTTAGTTTGCCAGATTCAGTTTTCATAGCTGAATCTGAAAAACGTTGTCTCAAAGCTCAAAAATGAAAGGAAGAAAAATGGTAGACTTTTTTCGAAAAACGAGGTTTTTCGAGGTTTTCGGACATCCTTCAGTATTTTGTGATTACCTCATCGAGGAAATGTTTTTGAGTGACGGGGACATCATATTCGTGATCGCCGCTCAATTCTCTAGCGAATGATGTGTCTTTTGCGAAAAACTAGACGGTGTGGAAATTCTGCCTGTCGTGCATCTTACTTTTGCTATGCATATTGATTTATTTTTTTTAATGTTATTACGCAATTCCATAGTGAAGGTTGAAAGTAAAAGTAAATAATACTTTTGTATTTTTTTCTTTTTAGTGATTTACTGATAATTTTTTTTGCAAGAAAGAAACGTCGAGCAACAATTTAAATTTTCCACAGTAGACAGAAAAAAATTAACTATTCTAAAAAAGCTTCATTTCATTCAAAAACTTGTGAAATACAGACCACGATGAATAAAAAACTATTGAGTATCTCATTTCTGTTTCTGTGGATTACGTAAGTACGCAACTTACCTGTCATATCCCTCTACACACTTAATTGTTGTATCTATTTCTTCAAAAAAAATAATAAAGAACAACGCAGGGACAACTGAAAGGTAAAATAAATCCAGGTTTATTTCCCTCCGGTCTGTCTTCTCAGTTACTTACGACTATTTCCATACTTTTCGTTACAGTCAGCCCATCTTCACCCGTAATCTCCAGTTGTGTAGCATCATCGTGTGGTGACAGATCATGTTCGTCGAACTTGAATTGTGAATGCATTCAGTTAGTCAACAACAGTTCAACTGGGATTTGTGGCTATCATTTAAATTGTGATGCTTTTGTTTCATGTGCTTACAATTACACTTGTCCTACGCCGGGTTCCGTCTGTATTAACAGTACACAATGTGAACGATTCGTCTGCTATCCAGTACAATTGGCGAGGACAGATGTTTGTCCACAACGTTCTACGACCACGACTGCTACCCCGCTACCATTAGAATGAGTGAGTTTAGATGAATTCTATGTGCCTATTGCTTCAAATTCAATTGGGTATGTTTAGATTCAACAACGACAACTACAAAGCTGCCGGTAACAGTAGCAGGTAGGGAGTGTGTTTCAAATTATGATTTAGTCAACCGCGAAAAGTTTCTGATAACTAATGCAGACAGATTAAAATCATTGTC